TAAGCATTATTAGCGAGGACAAAAATAACATAATTGTTAGTTACTTCCAGCATGTTATCACTGCAGACCTATAAAACAGACATTCTTTCAAAATACTGTAGGGGCTATTTTACTCTGCTGAAAATAAATAATACATGTTTTAAGCACTTGTTATTCCACTGGAATTTTGTTTTTAAATAAAAAGCTCTTGATTAAAAAAAAAAAATAAGAAAGGAAGGAAGAGCCAAGTTTCACTATTATTCATTTCTTTGAGCCACATTAGTGTGCAGTTTCTGAGTATACCTCCCAACCTGCCAAGGCCCAAATGTGAAATGGAACAAAAAGCCATAAAATTACTTGTGCAGAAAACTTTTATAATCCTCTGGGATCCTCCCACCCAGGTATAAATAAGATCTTCCTATAATCTCAGTTTCATTATTCTCTATTTCTGAGGTAAATAGTTTTTTTTTAACAACACAGGAAATATCTCAGTAGGAACCCTCTGGTATTGTATTCAAGCACCACACAGTCAGTAAGGGACCCAATTTTCACAGCACCCTTATTGCCCATTCTACAGATAGGAACCAAGGCATAAGGTAGGTCAAGTGCCTTTCCCCAATTCACACGGGTATTATTATAACGAGAACCCCTACGTGTTCTCTTCTTCCATATGTCTCTGTCCATTCTCCATACCAGTTTAATCCCTAGCTAGCTCAGCAGGTGCTCTTGATGTTCCTAAACATTGAAGTGAACCGAGGCCACTAATAATGCGGCATTAATGATCTGTCTGATCATAATGATTTTAATTCCTGTCCACATGAACTGGAATTGAACCCTTGATCTCTATTCTTTCTCACCAAACCACTGAGCCATCCTATGTTCCCATATTATATTAACTGATGGCCAACTAGACATAAGATATGGTCAAGGGAAAAAACTGCAGTCTGTGTACACCCATATGATTACAAAGGTCCGGATGTTGGTTATCTGTCTAATGGTATCTATGACTTAGTCATATTTTTCAGCAAGCATGCCTCAGCCACAGGTGGTATATGCTGCACCCACCTCCTCCTTTAAGGGATTAATGTAAAAGCAAACTCTTAGACCAAAGTTGTGCAACAGATGCTTCATTTCATTCTGTGTTTCTGAAGTAGGTGCTTTCATCCATAGCCAGAGCACACACAACCCTCCATATCCCTTTATTCAGTTAACATTTTCACTGAGGACTTTGCTGCATCTCAGCTTCATAATATCTTGCTTACAGCTTCTGTGCAAAGACTCTCCCGGATTGAATGCTGTGCGGTTTTGGTCTATAAAGAACCCTAACTCTTCAGTCCCCTTGGTGGGTTTTTTTTTAAATAAAGAAATAAAATTATTATTTGAAAGAAACAAAGCACTCTCGGTCAGAGCTAGAGATACACAAGTCTTTCAGGATGAAACCTGAGATCCAACAGGCTTTGCCAGCTTTTGGGTTTCACTACAAAAGCAGAATTTCCAAAGGGCTGCTCAAGCTGAAGTGGACCTTTCAGAGCTCTTTAGGAGCTGGAGCTAGGCCCCAAACCACAAACTAGATAATGTTTTGGGGGTTTTTTTCTAGTTTCCTTTAGGCTCGGCTGTATGCAACATAAAACTCTAAGAGCTTGAGAGACTCACTCACACTGAAACCCTTTTACACCTAATTTGTAATGGTAAAGGTTATTCCACATCTGCCGCATGTAATGTTTTTGCACCGAAGCCTCTGGTACTGGCTACTGTTGGAGACAAGATACTGGACTAGATGGATCTTAGGTCTAACCCAGCCTGACAGTTCCTGTGTTCCTAAATGGCCCTTATCATGGTGTAAACCATGGGAGTGTCTACACGTGCATTAATGTCCCATTGTTATTGCACATTAACTTTAGTACCTGTAATAACAGGTACTAAATGCACAGTAGTGCCAGTGCATGGTCTTTTAGTGATGCTAATGTGTAGTAGACTAATTCTACTCCGCATGAACGTATTAGTATGACTTTTTGCCATGATGTGATAATGCACAGTAGGATTAATCTACTGCTTGTTTAACGTCTCATGTAGATGCACCCCATGGCTTTTAGGAGGTGCCATCATCCCAAGGGAATGATGCTCTAAACACACTTTGCCATTAAATATCCCATAACACACTTCACTGCATAAAGGGCCTGATTCTCATTTACCTTGCAGACCCTTTAAGCTACTAGACTTCAGTCTCAGAGAAAAGCAGCTCCATAGACTCATGCAAACCATGTACCGGTAGCACTTGATTTCACTGGTTTTAGCAGTTTCCATAACATGGCATATACCATGGTTTGGTTTCACAGGAATGAAACCAGAAATTACATTTGTGTGTACAGATATTACCCTAAATCATCTGCATAATGAAACAGACAATTATATCCCTGCTGCAGAATTCTTACTCATGTGTGTAATCACTTGTGGGATTGGGCCCTTCAAGTACGTTTTAGTAAATCACGGCATTTCAAATGGTTTCCAACAGCATGTAGCATTGCTCAATAATAGGAGACCGCTTGACAGAAAGCCATGTGTGCTGTAGCAAGTCAAGGATGCTGTAGTCACAAAGATAGAGAATCATCGGTGGCACATTTGGTTGCTCATGTTCTCATGATATTTTAATGTATTTTCTTCCTCTAATTTGTTAGGATTTAGGTAGAAAGGATCCAAAGAATATCTTGCAATCCAAACTCCTTTGAATTTCACAGGGTCATTTGGATCTGGAGACTTTGGATCGAAACTCTCTGCTTTGGTTCTGGGTCAGTTCCAGTCCTGGAGGAGGGCCTCTGTTCTGCTCCCATTTTACATGCATCTGAAATCTCATGAAAACAGTGATTCTTGTGGTATTGTGGCCAAAGATGTCTGGAATTTCAGGACATTTCAATGCTGCTGAACACAAGCCCTTTTTCTTATTAACTTGCACACCTGAACCCAAAGCCCCAGGCTAAGTTGAGCAGAGTCCAGTTCCAGATGTGAATGGTGTCTCTCTGCTCCACCTATAACTCTGTACTTATTTTTAGCATTTGTAAAGACTACGCCTTCTCCCCCCTCCCATGTTTGGACAACTTTATCCCAGTTCTCTAAAGTACATCTCACCCTCCATTCTGGTTTACAGTACCTGGAGAAAATGATGCTCAGTACATCATACACAAGATAAGCGTTCTCCATCTAAGAGAGTACTGTATAACTCGACTGTCACACTGAAGATATAAATCCTCCCTTAACACTTTGAATCATTCAGTGCAGGGGCTGGAATTACTTATCTGTAACCAAGACGAGAGCTCTCTTTTCCCTCTTTTGGTGCTAGTAATGAAGTCGTCCACTTGACAAGCCATTTCCAGTCATAAGACGCACACCAGAAGAAAGAAAACACCCGCCACAGTTGCCCACAATTGTATCTTTGTGCCAGAGCACAACAGAAGGAAAAACACTTAATATAAACCTGGGTGTAATTATTCACCAAGTGGTTCACAGAATATTCACATCCATTGTGTTTGTAAACCAACAAATATTTTGAATCATAGCGGGGAAGCAAAGTGCTTTATGTGTGTCGTGCACAGACCCCAGAGTAAGTAAATAAAATAATCTAGGACATCTGCCATAATTTACATTGAGTCGCAGCTCCTCATGCTCAAGGCATCTTGTAGGCACAGCAAAAGATACCACTGTATCATCGACAGGGCTGGTAGTTTATTATCACTTTATCAAGAGGCTAGCTAGTGAAGTCCTGCCTGTAGACATGTAACAAAGCCAATATAAAGTTGTCTGTCCAGCCCGAGCCTTGAGCAGAGGCACACAAGCTATAAATCACTCTCCTCCTCAGTAGTGCAGACAAGCACGTCTCATAACTGCTCTCCTGCCAACGATGGCAGGTTTACAGTCCCGTAACTCAAATGGCCCGGTGCCTTATGCGGTTGTGTGCACCATGTGTCTGTGTCTGTAATAGTTAATTCAAGCTCCGGCTGCAGTTACTGCATTCAGAAAGTTATCTTTTTTGGAAAACAAATCGAGAGAGGAGGCCTCTGGCTCACAAGGGAGATACTGTGTGTATGTGCACCTCAAAAAGCAATGAAAACCAGCTGTTAAGGCCCAGCTGATGCTAAGAGCTATGAATCCACATTACTGATGAGGTATCCCATTTGTAGCAATGAATCTTACGTATTCGCTTGTCTATGAAGTGATAAGAGATGAATACCATAACTCTTCTGTTCAGTAAGGCCTTGTCCTGTACTAGCTCTGGCCGTAGCTGAACATTTAAACGCAGCAAGCCAGGTTCATTTTGAAATGAGACTAAGGGTCTGATCCAAAGTCCATTAAAGACCACAGGGACATTGGCATTGTCCATTGTGGAGCTATAACAGTTGAAGAGCTTCCCCTCATATAAAACCTTTGACTTCAGTACAATTTGGCTCAAACCTTCACTCTGTTCATACCATTTTGAAAGCCGAGCAAAGTTTTACAGTATGTTTTGAGGCTGGGGAGGTGCGCTGATGGGAAATTCTTTTTAAAGTAAGTAATTGAAACCAAGTTTCCAAATATGTGAATTGCCCCCCACCTCCCCCAAAAAAGTTGTAGGATTTCAGCATATTTCAGATCTCTGATGAGATTGTACTTTTAAGAAAATATCTCCTTCTGTTTCTGCTTATAAACTGAAAGGTATGCTCTTGAGTTATAAAAGAAACTGCCTGCCTGTTTCCTTAGTTGGTATGCCAGCTTTGGTCAACAAAGACAAAAAGGAACTTGAAATGAATACATGAGGGTTCCCCCCCCCCCCCCATTACACTGGAATAATTTCTGTAGGAGTCTTTTACTGACAGCTCACATGTTTTATCTCTTTAATGATACCTGTTTTCTGCTGCTCATAGGAGAGCAATCTTGAGCTCTATTGTAGCTACACAGTTGTACTTTAACACTCTGAGGATCATTAATGAAATGCCTGGGGAAAGATTCACAAAAGCAACAAGCTTCTTTAATTATTAGCTTTGTATTTTTCATTCAGCAGTCGTTTCCATGACCTCACTCGTGTTTGGGGCTAGATCCTGAGTTGCCACCAATTGGCGTAACACTCCTTTAGTTCAATGGAGCTACACCAGCTTACACCAACTGTGAAAAATATTGCCCTTAGGGTCCATATATTTATAATGCCAAATCCGCAGTTGGGATTAGAGGTACAGCTCCAGTAAGGTCTCGTTGGGGGCCCATACTCTACTCTGACTCAGATTCCAAGGTACTATTAAAATGCTGCAGCAGTTTCCAACTGATTTCTTTTAGAGCTGGGTAGAAGGAAGCATGCTATCAATAGAGATGCTTATCTGGATTCAAAATATTCAGTGGATGCTAATTTTATTCTTTCCTTATTTAAATAGAAAGATCAGGCCAAGACCCTGCTTGTTGAAAGTCAAGCCTTAGCCACTATCAATTCAGTTAAGTAACACGTGATATGAGCAAGTTGCACAAACTTTTCTTCTCCTAGGCCCAGAAATCAAGATGTATGTGATGTGCTATTGTAATCACAGGACTGGGGATGAATTTATTTCACCCACAAACATATGCAAAGTTAAAATGCCGACGTAGCTATGAAAGGATTGGTATAGAGAAGAGGATGCTACGTAACAAAACATAGCTGAGCACACTGAAAATCCCCACATGGTTCTGGAGTGAATGAGCTGGTGCCATGTGCTCATTTCCCATGCTATTTCACCAGGATGCTCTTTTGACTAACACATATTTAATAACTGTGTTGTCTGAGCTCTGGTGTGGCAGTGAATGTAGAGGTTTAGGCTGCAGGTGCACTGAGACTTGATGCACAGCTTTGTAGGCCCAAATTATATACATGCTTCCCCATATTTTATCTGTATAACTTTACATGGGTGGTACATAGGGATTACATAGGGATACATTTTCCTCCCAGGAAAATGTATCCCTACCCAGGAAAGGCAGTCATATTAGCCACGTTTAGTGCCTGGTGTAGTAAAGTTGCATGCCAAACACATGCACTGGCAAATACAGTCTTGTCCTGATAGACGCTATGCACATCCTGCAGAATATGCTTAGCATTTTAGTCAAATAGAGGGAAAGAGCTGTCAAATAATGGTATATGGGCTACACAGGCTCAGGAGTGGGCAAAAGGCATTGCTCGTTATTCTGTCAAGGACTCCACATGCCAGTCTATGCAAACTGATTTGCAATCAATTGCAAGTGATTACACATTGTTTATCATCGATTGGCACAAGGAATCCTTGAGAGAATAATGAGCTGCAGCTGATGACAATCAGAGACTACTGTCTCGTTGCAAGTTTGATTGCACATCCTTCCACTGATGCAATTGAGCACTCACTACAAAGTAGATGGGGGGGAGAAAAAAGGTTGAGGGGAAGAAAGAGGCCAGGGATCAGAAACTATTAAAGCCTTCTTCAAAAACAGTAAGAGGGTAAAGTTTCTTAAATGCAGCACTGCAATGTTAACCTTACTGCTGTGGTTTGTACAGGGGATCTCTGGCCCAGAGAACAGTCGCTAAGATCCCAGTGGGATGATTATGGCAAGACTTCAGGATTTTGATACCATCCAAGCCTTGCTCTGAGTCTACTGCAATATGAGCAGATGATGCCATGACCCTTCTGGTGCTCTAATCTGATGTATATGTGAAAAGATGATTGCCTGATTTTGAAACTTATGTGAACCATGAATTCCACTTGATAGTCTAGGCACCAGTAACTGTATCCAAAGGTTACATTTAGCATGGTACAATGAAAAACAATGGATGTCTTTAGTAGGTATTTTATCCTGCATCAGCGAGGAAAAACAAATAGGCTCAATTTACTACCAACCACATTCCCCAGATGAGGAGAAAAGCTCATCTTAAACTGGCATGGTAAATAAATGTCATCATTTTTAGACACAAGGTAAAGATCTCCTGTATAACCTTCAGTTAGTCATTTAACCTCTCTACTCTTTAGTCATTTAGCCACTTAGGGGAGAAATATAAGAAATAGGCCATGTGTTGAGTGGTCAGTCCATCCACTGCCATACCCTTCCAGTTGAGCAGTAGTCGGACCAGATGGTGCTTGTGCACAAACAAAGTTTTGCCATCCTTATCTATCATGCAATTTACCCAAACAGTTTACTGGTTATATTTCTATAACTTCGTTTTAACAAGGATAGGTTGCTGACTTAGTATTCAACCCCCAGCATGGAAGCCTTGTACATTGATTCCTGTCCAGCCTCTGCTCTTTGATCTGGCTTTGGCTTACACCTGCAGAACCTTAAACTCGGTTCTGCATTGCATCTTGGGTCACAATCCTTCCCTTCAATTTAAAGTGGAGTCCCACTGTATTACATTGAACTAATTTTCTTTCTCCTTCTCTCACTTCTCCACCCCCTCCCCACTGCTCCTCTTCAGCTGGAGTACCCAGTGAAGGCAAGATGTAGGCATGTGGGGATGACATGGTCTGCAGGGAGCCCAGAAGCAGGAAGGGGGGGGGACGACCCTCCAGCGGCTCCCTCCAGGACTCTTGGGCTGACTGGATCACAGGGAGGCAATCCAGGGGTGGAGGGACCAATGTGGGGCGGAAGGAAGGATCAGGAGATGCAAGTTGAGGGTTTGAGAGACAT